TACCAATGGTGTGAACTTGAAGTGATCTTTCGATGAAATCCTTCTTGAAGCCCTTAGAATTTTTGAAGGTTTGAATGTAGGATGAAGAGTTGTTTTCTTTGAGAGTGTTTAAGGAGATTTTTAGTGAAAGGTGCGTGTGTTTATGTGTTCGGCCGAGTATAGAAGAGGAGAGGGGAGAAGAGATAAAATGAGTTGACATGCATGGAAGTATGGGATTTGTGCATGGGTTTCCAATGGAAAAATATGAGGTGGCATATAATAGTCAACTCTTTTCCCCCCATTTTTTGTAGTTGGGCCAAGAGTGGGAGAAGAAAGAAAGAATTTGGGCCTTTTTGTGCTTAAATCCATATTATGGCCCATTTTGATGATTTTTCGGCCCAATAGGTCTTTGGAGATGGTTCACAGCCCAAAATAAATTAAAGTATGAGTCTCATGGCCCATTTGGGCTGGTTAGATTTGTTATGGCCCAATAAGGCCCATTAGAGATAAACTAGTCCATTTTAGATCCATTATGGTCCAAAATGTTAAGTATCATGAATGTGGGTCCAATTAGGGACCATTTAAGAGTTCTAGGCCCAAAATAGTCAATTTGGAAGCTTATTGGCCCATTAGGCCCAATAAGTAAATCCTAGTCCATGATGGACCTAAATCGGGATTTCTAGGGTTTCCAATTCTTTGTTGACTATTTGAAGTGTTTGTATAAAGTGTTTGATGAAATTTTGTTGGCATTGAATAAGCATCATACATGCTTTCAAGTTTTAATCACAATGTTTACAAAGCATCGAATTTCCTAGTTGTGACAGATTGCATGGCAACCAGAATCAATCATCTCATATCATAATAAGGTGTTTTTAAGTCAGTTTTAATGTGAATTATTTTTTTTACAAGGCACGACCGTCAAGCATAGTATATAGGGAGTATTTAGGGTTTATGGTGGAGACCTGCATACCAACTTGGATCGTGATATCACTTTCCGAACTGATATTTCTACCCTATGCTTGGGTTACAAGAAATTCAGCCTAGGATAATCCAAGTGGACACTTACGATTCTAGGCACAGAATTTGTAAGCCAATATGCTAGAGGATTCTGTGAAAGTATGATGAAAACGAGAGCTTAAGATCGTAACCACTTTCTGAAGAGGAAGATCTATTTATATATTAAACGAGATTAGGGTTTCATTAGGGTTGGGCTGTCATTAGTTGTTTTGGAAGCAAGTCATGATAATCCAGATTTAATGAGGATTTAGGGTTACCAAAACTAACGAGTTTCGTTAGTTTTACGATAATCACCCTCAAGAAATTGAATTTTCCACTAGTTTTACCATAGTCATGATAATCCGGATTTAATGACGACTAGTTAGGGGTCCGGGGGCTCTGCCCCTTGGACCTCGCTAGGGGCGCTGCCCCTAGACCCCGCCAAAGGGACGTTGCCCCCGGACCCCCAACTAGTTGTCGAACCAGCTTCTAATTCGATCTTATACATGCGTGCAGTCCGCACAACCCTATACATATATTAGAGTACAAATTATGAAGCCTCTTAGCTCATATGTTAGTTCCAGTTAGTTAAAATGACATTGTGACACTAAAATCACCAACATAGTATCACCAACTATCCTCACACAGACAGCCAAACTGAAGTCGTTAATCATTGTGTGGAGACATATCTCTGATGCTTTGTCCGGGATACTCCGAAGCGATTGAATAAATGGCTAGCACGGGCTAAGTATTCGTATAATTCGTCTTTTCATACATCCACCAAAACCACTCTCTTCAAAGTGTTGTGTGATAGAGATCCACCACATTTACTATATTATGGTCACGTTAGAATAGTAGTGAGATTAGTGGACCGATACATGATAGAAAGGGACCGCATTTTGCAAGAGTTGAAAAGTTATTTGTTCTAGGCACCACAGTTGACGAAAAGACAAGCATATTTGCATCGTCGGAATGTTCGGTTTGTTTTTGGTGCGTGGGTATATTTGAAGCTTAAACCTTATCACCAACATTCCATATCAAGGCGTCAAAATGTGAAGTTAGCCCCAAGATACAGACCCTTCGAGGTGTTAGAGTTACTTGGCCAATGCGACATACTGTTTAAGTCTACCACCAACCTCACACAAATGATGTCTTTCATGTCTCTTAGTTGCGCAGGGCCATTGAGAACCGGATAAAAGCTCCTCAATTTCCGACAACTTTATCTGAGGATATGGAAGTTTTACTACAACTAGTCAGTTGGAGGGGTGCATGAAGGTTGATGTGTGTAAAACTCACTTAGTTTTAATCCTACTTTAATTATCAAATAACACACAAAAGGCAGTGAACCTATCAATTGTGGTATAGCCAAATAAGCAGGGTATCGAACACAGGGAACGGCAAATTAAATTAAAAACTAATTCTATCTAAATTACTTTAGCAAATAAAGGTTTTTCTCTAGTTTTACAAGACTAGAAACTTACTAAACAAAACTAATGCAAGGCTAGAAAAGAACAAATTGACTAGATTCAATAATGGGAAAGAAACTTCTGTTTAGTTCAACTCGGTTAACTTTATGGTTGCTTTTAAGGTAATAGTGCAATGGATTAATTCTTTCGTTGGTTACCGATTCAAGTGATTAAGTTGTGTTCACTACCCTAATCCTTAGCAAATAAACTAATTCAAACAGTGGCCAATCGCTTAACTTAATTACATTTACTAGATTAATTATTCGGGTTAAGTTAGACTTGCAATAGCTAATTAAATTGTTATTTTTAATTAACCTCTTGTTCAATAGTCATCTTACAAGCTTGCACATGAATTTACTCAATTTTCTTATTAATCCTAGTTTCATATTCATTAATCCTAGACATATGATTTAGTGGTCACTTATCATATGAGGTTGATAATTAATAGATGTTCATGCTAATTAACTATCTTCCTATTAACAGAAAATAAATTATCATTCATACACAAGGTTCTTTAGCAAGCTAAAATAACAATTAATCACCAACTTAGAATTAATCCTACCAATCAATCAAACCATATTGTCAACTTTGTATCCCCAAACAGAAGTATAAAGAAATTAGTTCATAACTAAGGTGAATAACAGCAAACAAATAAGTTCAAGTTGCTTAATCATATTGACAAAACAAAAGAATTAAGTAGAATGATGAAATTACGCCTTAATTACTCCCGAAATTGGATTCTAGCTTCTTTGGTCGACTTCTAGGGTTCTTCTGGCTTCTTATTCGTAGCTTAACACCTCTGAAACTTCCCAGAATTCCCTCCTTTTCGCATTAAAGAGTTATCTTTATATATGCATACCGACTCGTCGAGTCATACGGCGACTCGTCGAGTCCCTCTCACATTAGTCGTAACCTGATAACTGTTTTGACTTCCGAATGTTTATCTTTCTGAATCCGCGACCGGACTCGTCGAGTCAAGAGATAACTCGACGAGTAGAAGCTTTATTTTGGTTGTTTTCTTTCTTCTTTCCACTCTTGAGCTCTTAACCGCTTCTCTTGCTTCCTTTTGCTTCCGAGCTTCGTCTTTGGACTGAAAAACACAATTTAACACTTTTAAGTACCTTTTGTCCATAATATGCAACAATTTAGCTAATATACGAATAATAAACTACCCTTAATACACACTAAATATGCACATATCAAAGGTACTAATGGATAGGAGGTTTTAATTCATTAGTTGGATCTGTGTATGAGGCCGTGTGGGAACTTTTTGATGCCAAAAACTGCTATATTCCTAACTAGTATATAACCTGTGAGAATCAAGGTTACAAAATTAAAATTAGTATGTAAATCATAAAATTAATAAAATTAAGTTGTTCAAATAAACATATATTTTTAAAAAATAAGAATTATAAAAAGAAAAATTAACAAAGTCTTATTAACAATAATAATAAAACATGTTATGAGAAATAATATTTTATAAACAATTTACAGTTTTTTAAAAACTTCTTTATAAACAACATTAGAAGTTTTATTTGTAAGTCTACCATCTTTATCTAAACTTAACAATTTTATCTTTATCTAAACTTAACAATTTTAATCATTCTCTACTTTGATCTCTAGACAGGGTAACCATACAATTGACCATGTATAAAAATCGGATCTTTAAAAAGCAAACCAACCTAAGGATTATCCTCGGGTCTTGTTAATTGTCATTGTAAAACAAAGGATTGAAATCGTTTTGGGTGTTGTGCATTGGTCATATGGAAGGTAATGTTGATATAGAAGGTATTCAATACATATTAAAATTAGTTTATCATTACCGTATTTTAGATTTTTGAATGATAAATTATGTTGATTTGGTCAATTATGTTTGTTAATTTTGATATATCTTTAATTTCTTTGAAATTTTTCTAATTTTCAGGAATTTCAGGGATTTAATATGCATACACATGGTAAATAAGCGGAAAATATGTTTCTAAACTTTAGATTTTTTTGTTCTTACGATAAAGAAATTCTTGTAATTAAAAAACTTATAAATTCGTAAAAAAAAAAGAGAGAAAATAAAAGCATAATAAGTGTAAACATAATAAGTGTAACCAAATTTGGTAAATATCATTTAATCGGGGTATAGGTGCGGTGGATATTATTAACATATTTTGTTACCATATAAGAATTTATGAATATTTATGAATATGAGTTGTAAAATGAAATTCAAATTGGAACACCAAATCAATGACACGTGGGCCATGGCGTATTATTGATTTAATAATTTGATACATGAGATTAATCTTATTCATTTATTAAATAAATATTTTCATTTAAGGACAAGGTGCGTTTTGTTGGGGGAGTAATGAGCGTGGACGGTTTGGTTGAAGGCGGAAAGAATAAGCTTAATTTTAATATTTTGTTTAAACAAGGATTGTTATCCAAGTTCACTTAGTTATCTAGTTGGATTAGAATACTTTTCCCAATTATTTTAGGTTATCAGTTTTATATGTAGGTCACTATAAATATAGTGCACCATTGATTTTCAGTTTATCGGAAAAATAAAATTTAGTCATTAACTACTTTGGAGATTACGTACTTTTCGGTTCCAACCCGGTCGGATCTCATACATATAATTAGTATTATACATGCACCCCAGTGATTAGGCTTTTGTGACCGACTACAACTGATTTCACCTGCATGATGCTCATGGGGTGCACATGAGGATGTAGGCCAACCTCACAGGGTTGCTGAAAGAATAACCCTTTGCAGATAGATACTAGAATAAATACACAACTAAATACATGTTTCTATACACGCTTTTAACCAAATATTTCCAACATCTCACCACCTAAAACTGCACACAATGTTCAAAACCGGGCAGCAATTACACAAACCATATTTTCATGGTGAGCCCGAGTACTTAATATCTCTCTCACGTATCTCTAACATGAGCGATAGCCATTTCAACACACTAGACACAATCTTCCATCTCCTTTGAGCTTTACCAATAGCAGAATGGGGAAAGAAAAACCCATCAACCGCACACTCCAAATCCACCTTCTGTGTAGAAGAAGAAGTACCAAAATACTGCATATCCTCATCATCATCATGATGACTCTTTAAAGTCCCCGCGTCACAAATCAAAGTATCCGATACTAAATTCAATGGTTGATCAAACCTAAGATCATCAGATTCCATACTATGTAACCCGTATTCATCTGTGCTATCGATACCCAATACCGAATAAATCGATGACATAGCTTCTGGAGATGATGCGATCATTTGTGGGTAATCGAATCGGCCTTTTTTATGTGGAGTTATAATTTTGCTGAATTCGGGGTCTCTTGTTGTTATCATTTTGGTGTTTGAAGGGTAAATATCTTCAGAGATAGAACAAGTGCCTGTTCTAAGAGAGGCCTCATCATCATAGGGGACGATTTTTTCCGGATGTTGAAACGCAGATATCACCAATTTATATGCTTCAGCCTGAAATGTCGAAAAATAATTAACCGATTTTTTTAAATTTATTTTAAAGTGATTTTAAAAGATATCAGAAGCTGACCCGTTCAACTTCAGAGAGCTTCTCAATGGCAACATACTTTGAGTCTGAAAGAAGTCCAAGTACTTGACCCACAACATTAAACACAACACCATTTCTGTTTAGAGATCGAGGGCAGTATAAATACAGCTTTTTATCATCAACCACACAGCTCTTAGCATGTTCAACAGTTGTTTCCCACATTTTGGTAGACATACCCGACCCAAGGATCTGCGGATGGATTCTTATATATAAATTGAATTTTCATAAAAGTTAAATAGAAAAGAAGAAGGGGATGAAAATCTTACTTTTCGAAGGCGTTTTGGGTCGATATAGAAGAGAGCTAAAAAATCTTTTACTGTTTTGATGGAATCTTTATTTAGCCGCTTGTGGAAGGCTCCCTCTTTCCCAATTTTTTCAAGTCTCCATACCTCATCAGACAGATACGGTGGGTGATGCTTCTTGTACACTATCAACCAAATAAAAAGAAAAACTTGTATTGGAATTTACTTAGATAGTTGGAGGTAAATTACACTTTTAGTCCCTGTGGTTAAGTTGTTTTATGCATATAGTCTACTTTTTTTTCATTTTTAACATTTTTCATCCCTAAAAAGTATTGTATCCCCCTTTTCATCCCTGGAAGTGGACACCATTACCATTAACCCCATGTAAAACTGACTATTTTGCCCTTTACTTTTACAATTTTAACTGAGCCCATTTACAAAATAGTCATTAACAGAAGAGGAGGGTGAAGGTGGTGTATGGAAGTGGGCCCTATATAAATAATTATAATCAAGATCAATAATAAATGTAAAGGTAAGGACAAAATAGTCATTTTACATGAGATCAACGGACAATCGGGAGGGAGGTGTTGTAATGGGCTCTATTAATATGATTATAATCAAAATCAATAAGAAATGTAAAGGTAAAGAGCATATAGTCATTTTACATGGGACCAAGGGTAAAATAGTAAAAACTCATTCACCACGATCATCATTCATCCCTGACGATTTTACTTAAGCAGTTGGATAAAGAAGATAAGAATTAGAGTAACTTACACCTTTAGTCCCTATGGTTGTGTTGTTTTGTGTATATGGTCCTTTTTTTTGTTTTTTAACATTTTACGTCCCTAAAATGTATTTTATCCCCCGTTTCATCCCCAAAGTGGACAATATTTCTTTTGAACCATTAACCACATGTAAAAATGACTATTTTGCCCTTGCTTTTACATTTAAGCCCAAATTTACATGGCAAAATAGTGTCATTTTACAAGGTGGGGTGTTGTAAAATGATTATAATCAAAATGAATAAGAAACGGAAAGGTAAAGGGCAAAATAGTAAAAACTCACATTCACCACGATGATCCCTGACCACAAAAGACTCTGACTTTGCTTCTCTGACTCTATCATCATCAGAATTATCCAAAACACGTGCTCCAAGTCTAAATTTTCGACTCCTTGTCCAGCTTGAATTATCAGTAAAGGAAAGATCACCCACAAGACCAATACCTTGATCAAGTTTCAAGCGTACATTACCCAAAAGAAGTGATTTCTTCCCTTGTCTCTCTCTAACAATATTACTATTAAACTCATCAACTGTCCAGTTGTCTCCTTCATTGCAATCAAAATCTCCCTCAAGAACCACTATTTCCACTGTTGCTGATGACCCGATTCCACTTGGAACTGTTTTTCCAGTGCATGCATCAATCAAGGCTACTTTTAAGGTATTACAGTCTCCTCCTTCGATTCGGGTTCCAGTGAAAACTGGGAGAGATAGATTACTTAGAAACTGTAGTTGTAGCCTTCTAGGGGCAAAAGAGTCTTTTTTGTTCTCGATATCCCTATGGAGACACCATACAGAGGCTTTAACCATGGTTATTACTTATTATCAACTGTGTTAGGAAAATGATTTATCTATCTATCAAGCAGAATCATACACCTTACCAGTTCATGGCAGCCATATGTTTTTCAATTGCTGATTCCACTTCCTCTTTCACCTACAAACTCAAAAGCATCAACAATACTATTATAATATTTTAATACTCAGATCATAAAATTAATAAGGTATAACAGTTCGTTTAACAATTTGTAGTATTTATTTGATCTTCTTTCAAATATAGTAATCTTAAATGTAGAATCTCATAAATCCATTATAAGCACCAGAAACGGGATTAATAAATAAATAAAAACGAGGGAACAAAAATAATTACATACAACTTTGCGGATTAAGGGCTCCAAAATCGGCTCCATGTACTTGCTGAATTTGCTGAAATTCATCACCTCAAGCACCACACTGTATATCAGAAACAGAAAGATAAAACAGTCTTGATACAATAAGAAAAACTATTCTCATGTAATATTGATGATCAATTTATATGAAATTTTCCTTATCCAGCACTATCAAAATACAATTTAGCAAGCAGCATAAGTTACTCTTAAATTCTGCTGAAATCAGTCAACTTAGCGTATCATTAGATGGAAGAAAATTTGGATAAAAAGTAGTCAATCACACACTAACATAAAACAATTTTGACAAGCAATCTAGTCACTCATAAATTCTACTAAAAAATCAGACACTTTATTCCTAAATTCTGCTCAAATCAATCAACCTACAGGCATCAAATGGAAAAGGAAGAGGAAAATAAAAAATACAAACGAGAAAATTAACCGACTTACTTTCTGAAAGAAGGACGTTTACGACGGCCACCGACGTCAGAAGACGAGGCGGAAGGCTGTTCCTGAGGAGGTGAGGGCTTCTTCTGAGACATAATTTTTGTGTGCCACCGGCGATGATGCTTAGTAATTCGGAAAAAATTCTCAAATAATAGAACTCAGTAGTAGTGGAAACCTTGCTGGTGATCACCATAAACAAATAATGGATGACGATGAGGCGGATCAAACGATAAGATAGCCAATATACAGTGTCAGATCAGATTCACCAACAACTGAAACTGTAAACTTTAAAGCTTGTCTGACGATATCGGGGTTTGTGCATCGGTGTCTGGTGGAGGGTAGCGGTGACGGAAGGAGAGAACGGAATTCAGACATCAGAAATTATGTGTCAAAGGAATCAGAGATATGGAGAATGTGGACGAATAGGAAAGGGACCCACCAAACCGCGTTAAAGAATGGTCCCACGGAGTGATGCCATGGACGCGTTTCTGGAGTTGTGCAAAGGCGGGAATCCGACTTGGTTTTTATTTTTTTTATAACATATTTTAGAAAATAGTGTTTAAAAATGAATCTATATTATAAGTTCATAGAATATAGAATATAGAAAATTACAAATTTGGTCATTCTGGTTTTAGTATGACGTGAATTTTAATATTATAGATATAGTCATTTTGGTCTATTTGATTATGTTAGTTATAGTTAGTAAAAACTCTATAAATTACGAATTCGCCCTTAATATACATGTAATGTTCTAGATATTGCATGTGAGTCTTGCACCTTGTTCCCGACTTGTAGCAAAGAAGATAAGAGAAAAGAAAAGAAAGTAATGAAAGAAAAGAAGAAAAAAGAAAAGAAAATAAATTTATATTTTCTGTTCCCAAGTTGGAAAAAAATGGAAGAAAGTTAAATATTTTGTTCTTTCTCTTCAAATCTTTCCAAATCGAAAGGAAAGTTAGGAGGGAAAGTGATCCCTACACTTTCTTCATTTAATGAAACTTGGGAACACCAATTTCTTTTATTTTCCTTTCATTTCCACTCATTTCCTTTCTTTTCTCTCCTTAAATTGAACTCGGGAACAGGATTAAGTAATTGATTATATACATTTTCCTGAAAGGAACACAAGCACCTCATTCTTGTTGTTTTCTTTTTTTTTTTTAGTCATTGGAGATAAACTTGTAGAAGTAAGTAGCTATGGCATCGTTTCATCGTATACATATACACATTGTATGGTCATTCAACGGAAAAGTGTGCTAAAACAACTCATAATTAGTGTGATGATTGTCTACAAGTGTCGAAATTGATAGTTCAAATTCGGTTTGTGTCTATTCCAATCAAAGATTATTTTTAATACTAGAATTGACGGTTCAATTCTAGATATTCAACTATAAAATGACTTGTAATCATTGTGATAATAGTTTGTAAGTGCCAAAATGTATGCCCAGTTCATCATCTTTTTTCTTGAAATAAGTTTTAGGTTTATATGCATTATGTCCAAGTTTTATTTTCAACAATTCAATTCATTAAAAATGTACGCAACTGATTAGAACTTTTAGCAAGGTCAGTGCTAAGGAATTAAATATTCTCAATGGTCGGGACGAGTCAGAAAAAATAACCCCTGATCCTTATTATAAGTTGTTATTTCTAAATAAATATATATTAATAAAAAAATTAGATCATGTACAACTGCCCACTTTGCTCCCCCTTAATGCCCCCATGGTTTTTAGATCAAATTGAGCTACCAATTTTGTTTCACCATGGTGTAAATCTAGGATTGAAAACATGGAATGAAATTTATTCATCCAAGATTGAAACACATTGTTTCTTCCCAACCATCATGCCTCTAATGGTAGACATAAAAAAGAAACAAAAGAAGGTTGTTATGGAAATGGAAGATATGGTGTAGGGTAGTAATGTTTCAAGAAATAACAAGTGTGTAACATACTAAAATGAATAAAATCTAGGTCATAATGCAAAAAGTCACAACGACCAAAGTACAAGTACATGTATAGGTGAATAAGACAAGGGAGATCATTGGGGGCTGGGAATAAAGGGAAGAATGTTGTTTGAATAGAGTTTGTCTACTTTTGTTTCCTAATGTCATGGATTTTTGAACTTTTAAGTTATTATATATTCTGGGAGATGGTATTTTGTAAACAACCTTAAATTAGTATTTTGTATTGGTGTTGATATATTGTTGATATATCAAAATGGCAGTTTGTTGATTTGTTTGTGTTGATCTATTTCCAATTTTGTTTATCTCTTAATACATAAGCATTTATTAGTTGATTACCTATCCATTACAATTAACTACTTAGTAAATATACACAATATCATTACCATCATTTAATGTTGGTGATTTTAGTGTCACCGTGTCATTTTATGTAACTAGAACTAATATGTGAGCTAAGGGGCTTCATAATTTGTACTCTAATATATGTACGGGGTTTGTGCGGAGTGCATGCATGTATATAATATCAAATTAGAAGTCGGTTCAATGACAAGTCGGGGGTCTGGGGTTTCCAAAGGAGAGACACCCATTTGGCGAGGTCTAGGGGCAGTGCCCCTGGCTGGGGTCCCGTTGCCAGGTCAGCGGGCGGAGTCGAGGGGTAGCGCCCCAAAACCTCTCTGAATTTACATATAGGAACATAGTGGGAAATTCATCTTCTTGTGGGTGATTATGGTAAAACTAACGAAACTCATTAGTTTTGGTAACCCTATATCCTCATTAAAATCTGGATTACCCTGACTTGCTTCAAAGCAACTCATGATGGCCCAAGCCTATAAAACCGTAATCTCGTTTATCATATAAATTGTTCTTCCTTTTGAGAAGAAATACACGAAAATTAGCTCTCATTTTTCTTCAAACACTCACAAAATCTTTCTAGCAATTTGGCTTACGATTTCTGTGTCTAGAATCATAAGTATCCTCTTGGATCATCCTAGGCTAAATTTCTTGTAACCCAGACATAGGGTGGAAATATCAGTTCAGAAAGTGTTCACACTATCCAAGTTGGTATTCAGATCTCCACCACAAACCCTACTTGCTCTAGCATTTAACTACTTACTTGTTGTGACATGTTCGACAGGGAATTGGTTTCTCATAGACGGCTTTGTCCTGGAGTTTTTCCTGTGAACACAACACAGAAGAATCGTTAAAGGACGATCGGGGGTTCTCTCAAGACGTCGCTCCGACGATCAAGTTAGTTCCTACTTAGAGAGACTTTAGGGTAAATTGTGTAGAGAAAAAGATTGATCTCTTTCTTGGGTAGGAAGAGATCTTTTTATACCTGTTTCTAACGGAATGAAGTGACCCTCCTATGTGGGAGTGAGATGTGGCACCCTCTTATTGGGAGGAGTATGCCAACGATGACTAACTACCAGGTGATGCCAGTTATGGGCGTCACCAGGCTCCTTTTCATGACATGATTTGTCATGAGAGAATGAGAAGATCACGAGGAATATTCTTTCCTCGTGAGGGGACGCGAGCTACCAGCTCAACGTCGGGCTACTTGAGCCAAGGCTAGGTGTCGGCCAAGGCTCTAGCTTGATAACGACCCATCAGTGCTTCCCGTTAAGTTTAACGTGGTCGCATACGATAACGTTAACAAGTCCCTTAGACCAATAGGCTTCTGCGTTTGTGATGTAGCAGACTAGTTCTGGTCTACCTGTAGACACGTGGCGGACTTCTATTGCTAGTTTGTGCAGTTGTCAGGACGAAGTCGCCATTCTTCGGTGGTTTCATCATGAGACGGTTTGCTACTCTTTTAGTAACATTTAAACCCTTGTTCCTCCAGACGTTTCCTCCTCACTTTTTGCCCTTCTATTTTTGCTTTCTTGCCTCAAAGAACCCTTTTGACCTTTTCTTTGAATTCTTCCCTGGCTAGCGCTCATCCTTTAGGAAGGGAACTTACTGCTGAGGAATGGGAGTCCTTTCAGTTACGATTTGGCTTTGTCTCCGAACATGGGGTTCAAATTCCTTTTCCCGATGCATCGCTCTATAGTCCTCCCGAGGGCAAGGTCAGCACTCTCATTGCCTTATTCGAGGCAGGTCTGTGTTTTCCCATTATGGACTTTTTCAACCTGAGCATCCGTGAATATGGGCTTTCTGTGATGGAACTGACCCCAATCACCATATACAAGATAGTGGGCTTTGAGCTTCTCTGTCGTGCCCTAGGCCATCACCAGACTGTCTTGATGTTCAAGCACTTTTTCAATGCTTCCAACCAGTCTGGGACTTGGAACTTTTCTCTTCGGTGAGGAGTCTCTATCCTCATTTACGATAAAAAAAATCCAAGAAGAATTGGCAGGAGAAGTTTTTATGGGTGAACATAAACCTTGTGGTGCTTAGCTATCCGAGGACTAAGGTGTATGTGGATCGCGCTCCAACACTATTTGGTGCTGAAAAAGAGCTAGTTGGTTCCCTAGAGAAGGTTAGCATCAATGGTGAGGACTAGCTCGACTGCTTCTTGTCCACTGGCAGGATGAGATCCGCTTAGAGGTCTCGTGGGAAAATACCTGAGTTTTTCGTCGAGAAAGAATGTATGATGTTTCTTCTTCTGTTTTCTCTTACCTCCCCCCCCCCCCCCCCGCGCCCTTTTTTTACTCGACAAAGCGCATTAAAATTGCTAACTTTGTTAACCATTGTTGTCTTTGTTTTGTTTTCAGGTGTGGATGAGATTATATCCTTAGAGAAAGCTCTTCAAGGTTTAGTTGATGGTGATCTTGAGTGTCGCGATGTCGACCTTGTAGAGACTCTTCCACCCTCTGTTTCTAGTTGGGGAATCGAGGCTATCGTCGGTTCAGAAAGTGTTATTGTCACCGACGAGGATCCGGATCTGTAGGACGTTGTTGTTACTGGTTCTTCTCAAAAGGATCCTACCCCTTCCGGGTCCCTAAGAAGTCTCCATCGTGTCACGAGGCGATTCTCTTTGTTGGAGGCCTCTTCTGGCGATAACACTGAGACAATTAGTACCGATCCCCATCTTCATAAGAAAAGTAATCTGAGTTTCTTGCTAGGGGTTCCAAAGGATCCAACAGTGCCCCCGATGAAAGTCCTCCAAAACTGTTGGAGGGGGCACACGACAGGGCGATTGAACTGCCTGGTCATACAGAGAAAGGAAACACTTACGTGATGGGCTCGGATCCTACTGCTGAGGGAGTGTGACAATCGTCAATCTTGAGTCAAGTCAAGCCGGTCAACTCGATTAAACCTTGTGCATTAGGGTTTGTGTTATGTTCATACTGTATAACTTGTTATATTAATGGGAAAACATCACTTGAGAAAAGTCTTGTGTTAAAATTTCCTAAGCCCTAGTGCTAATCAATGAACTAAACTGATAAAAACCATGTTGCATACACATTGGGAGTGTGTGGGATCCTTAATCATGACTTAACGAGGCTCAAGAAACTTGCATTGCGGAGCCAAACACTCACAAATGCCACACTTGAAATCTCTCTCAAATATCTCCTTGTATGAGAAATCTCTCCAAGAATGTCAAATCTCTCCCAAATCTCTCCAAGTATGTGAAATCTCTCTCAAATATCTCTTTGTATGAGAAATCTCTCCAAGAATGTCAAATCTCTCCCAAATCTCTCCAAGTATGTGAAATCTCTCTCAAATATCTCTTTGTATGAGAAATCTCTCCAATAATGTCAAATCTCTCCCAAATCTCTCCAAGTAGGTAAAATCTCTCCTAAATCTCTCTCAAAAGTTCCTGTAACTTTTTGGAATCATTCGGGTCATACCGACCCTTAACCGGGTCAAAAACGGCTTAAAACGGGGCGAAAACGATAAAAATAGGCTTTAGGAACCGAAACCGGGAAGAGATGCCTCTTAGGACCAGAACCGAGCCTCTGGTGGCTGAGGCATGCGAGACCGAGCCTCGGTATCTGCCTCTCTCGGTCTCTCTTCTGGTCGCTCGGTCTCTGCCTTCTCACGCTCTGCCTCTCTCGGTGTCTCTTCTGGTCGCTCGGTCTCTGCCTCTCTCGGTCTCTTCTGGTCGCTCGGTCTCTGCTCCGCCTCTCTGTCTCTTCCCTCCTCTCGGTCTCTGCTCCTTCTCTCCTCTCTGTCTCTTCGCGCCCCTCTGTTCTCTCCTCCCTCCTCTCGGTTCCTACCCTCTCTCTTCTCCCCTCTCGGTTTCTACCCTCCCTCCTCTCGGTTTCAGCATCAGAAGGCCGAACCTCGGCCAAACTTCGGAAATTTGTCACTTTTAGCCCAATTTTGATATTTTTAACATTTTAAGCCCGTTTTTCATGATTTTAAAGCGGGATTTTCTCCAGAAATTATATTTTAACATAATAAACTCTAAATATTCATAATTTAAACATATTTTTATGAAAATCATTATCTAAATAATAAAGATCTAATGGGGGATTTATTTAAGGTGGAGTGTTGACTTTGCCTTAACTTATGACACAAGCAACCACCCCACACCCACTCTATGACCAGCCATACCTCCCCACCTTACCTATGTCACTTCAATGTCCCTTACACTCAAATTACACTCACTCCCACGTTTTTTTTTAGCTGGAACAAACACCCACACTCCTTATTTTCTCTCATTGCTCTCATTCCACTAAGTAACAAACATCATTTTTCTCTCAAACTTTTTCTACACAAATTTCGAGATTCAAGGCTGATTTCAAGTGTTCTTCCACTCTTAGTAAGTAAAATTCATCCTCCCTATTATTATTTCACTTCATTCTACTTAAATCTTTGATTTCTTACACAAACTCCATAACTATAATGTTAGATTCTCGAAAATCTTCAAGGCATCTCTAAGTGTTCTTGAATTAAACACTTCCATTCTTCAACAATCATCTACTGAAATGACTTAAGGTGAGTTCATACCCCTACATTTTCATGTTTTCTCAAGTTTTCAGGGGGGGAATACAAGTTAAAATACTAAGAACATAACTAAATTTTTCTAACAGCCTTCATCAAAAAAGTTCAACTCCATTCACGGACTGTTTTGGGCATCTTAAACATTTTTGTTTTCAAAACTGTACAAGGTGAAAATAGTTCAAGTTCTTAGCTTTAAAATGGCTACTTGCACATCTCCATACGATTTTTCTACAATTTATGGTGATTTTTACAAAACTGCCTATCATTTCAAACAACAATCCGGACTAGTCTATGATTTTGGACTTATTCACCCAGGTTGGAGGTCCTTAAAAATCGTGATAAAAATTATGAGTAAACTAGACACATTTTTTGAACTCTTAGAATTTATGGATCTAGTTTTCGACTTCGTATGATTTTTCTATGATTTTTCCAAAACAGGGCAGAATGGCTAAAGTTAGCCAACAACATGTAAATATCATAACACTTTGTATTATGTTGAGCAAAGTGTATAATCACGAGTTCTAATTATTGAATGTGTTTCCTTGTTAGTTTGTCATCATGAACTAAAACTAAGTAATTCATAATAAATTTTATTCATTCATTTAGAACGCGTATATTAAACTATAAAAAGTATAGTTTGATAAATTCATAACACTAATACACATCTATAAAAGAGTTCATACATACTACATACATTTTAGATAAACTATAATAGGTATAGTTTATGATACCTCACTCAATACACACGTAAAAAAAGGGTACATTCATACAAGAAAGATTTATATTCACACACATTTCACGTAAACTTGTTAACCTATATTGTGAGACTCTCTCTCTCTCTCTCTCTCCCCGTACGTCCGAGTGCGGGATATAATTCCTGGTAGTTATAATCAGAATCTCCTTGAGGGAGAACGTGATACTTGTATATAGATCTATATTGGGTTTGACACCCCACACCTTGCTGCTAGCTACAGTGGGACCTGCAGGTCTACGGGTGACAAATGTCATTTCATTTTCGCGACGCCTGAGAAACGTTGTGGCAGGTTCACATAGTCACAGTATGATTATAGCGACTCACCTAGGGAGATAACAATTCATAAAGTTTACTGGATTTCATAAAACCGAAGTAGGTTTTTGGTTGATTAAAAAAAAATTTACTTTCCATATCATTTTAAACTCACGACATTTCTACTAAGTAATGATGATTTCTTATACATTTTGGTCTTTGGTTATAAGGCTACATTTTACGGATTTCAAGGAAAATATCGGATTTTTCTGAAACAAATGCGACATTTACATGTGAAAGACTTCTACTAAGTTTTATAATAAAAGCTTATGAACTCACCAACCCTTGTGTTGACACTTTTCAAACAACTTGTATTCTCAGGAAAACATTAAACAGGTAATCAAGTGCTTTTGAGGATGGGACGTTAAGGCATCAAACTTTTCATATTTTGTCAACATATTGTAATTGATTTTGAACCATGTAATTCATACAAGTGATGTAACTTTTCCAATTATATATATGTTGGTTGTGTTTGCTTAAATTACTATTGAAATTGTGGTTATGATACTACATGAAGTCCTCCACCCCCGGACGTTTCCGCCATCCTTGGTTTGGGGGTGTGACAGGGAGCCAAGGCGAAGGCTGGATCTGCACCCTCTCAGGGTCTTGCGCCAACTTCTTTTGGTAAAACAGGAACTGTCCTTCCTCCTATAGGGTCTCATTCAGGCACCTACAGACCATCTTGGAGCCTAACCCCCAAAGACCCCGTGTCCTACCACGACACTCTCTTGAGTGGTGTTGGCATGCTTTTCCCCCCGCCAAAACTGAAGCTTTGTCCATTTCGGCGGATGAGCACATGGCTGACGGTTTTCACTATGTTGCCGCCCAAGTGTCATCTTACCTAGTTTCAATTGTTGAGCACATTTCCGACATAAAGGCTATACATTCTCAGGCAGACAAGATGAGCATTGAATGTGCAGAGTTGAAGGCTCGGGTGGCGAAGATGGACGCCGACAAGTGCAGTTGGGAGGCCCAACAAGAGCTTGTGTTGTGAGAGAAGGCAAGCCTGAAAGGACATGTGGCAAAGCTGGACAGGGAGGTGAAGCGTTTGAACTATCGTGTGGGGGCCTTAACGTTGTAAAACACTAGCCTAAGCAAGTGAACGATAGATCTGGAGGCAGACCTTGTTGGGGAAAGCGCTGCAAGATGGGTGTTGGAGAAGGATATTTCGTGGATCCTTCGTGATGGGCTCAACCTATTCGGTTTTGAGCATTCTAACACTCCTAAGTGTACATGCAACCCTAAATATATTGGATCTATGTTTTCTCTATTATACATGCAAATATGAAGTTTCCAAGATATTACCCTATACTATCATACAAATATCATATACTTGGGTAATATAACAAGTTAGAATACATACCTTTTAATGAAGCTTGAAGTCTAGAACTTTAAGTGCTTAGCCCCACTAGTGTGGAAGCCTCAAGTGGAATCACAAATTACGAAAACACATTGGAAAACCTTTAGAGAATATTGATACTTGGCTCACGCTTATGAAATCAGTTATCGCCCTCTTTAGTGTATCCACACTAGCCTCTAGCTTCCATTTCATGAACCATAGGACTCTTTATATAGTGTGGAGAATTAGGGTTAAACCCTAATACCCATGACCTTTCATTTCCATAGGATCCATGGGTTAAAGCTCCATGGACTGTCCATGAAAGCTTAGCCCAACCTAAATGAACTTGGCTCACTACACATATATATATATATATATATATATATATATATATATATATATATATATATATATATATATATATATATATCTAAGAGTCCATATTTAATTAGTTCCTTTTGATCACTTAATTAATTATAAATCAATTCTTGATCAATAATAATTAAATAATATTATTATATATTAATATATTAGAACTTATAATATATTAAAATAAATCATAAGCATGCTATTCTCAAAGGATTATCCATAT